ACTCCATTGTCGTGGCATGCATTTGGTGCTGTGGACCTTGTTCTTTCCACCTCTCACCCACGCTGCTGCTTGCAGGAAATGCTGCTACCTCTTCCACTGTCATTGGAGTTACTCAGTGTAAAGGCAGCACATCATCAGTGCCATTATTATTATTGTCACAAAGTATGTAGGTTGCTCCAGTTCTGTGTGAAACACTGATATTCAAGCAGTGATGCTCCAGTGGGATTTTTTTTTAGCACTAACAGGACTGTCAGCAGGTTTCCTAAATAGCTCTTTTCTGTCATGCCACAGCAAACTTTGAACCATTTCCATTTTTTTCTATTGTGGTCCAGATCATTGATTTTGTAGTTTTTGTCTTTCTCTTACACAGAGCCCGGGGTGACTGGTTTCTACTTTATACCAAAGCACAACAGTTATTCCATACCTGCTTCTACTGGAGCAGAATAAGTATTTGACATAAAACAATGAATTGTGGGAATATCCCCCAGTTTACATAATAGTGGTTTAAAAAAAGCTCCAAATGAAGGTTATTGATGGGAGGCAAACTGTTTTTGTTGTGGTTGGCATTATTTTCTGTGGTTTGTGGTCAGTAAAATTACAAAACAGTTGAGGCTTTCTCTCATTGGCTCAAGGTCTGCTGGTTAACTGTGGGAATACTGATGCTTCTGTGTGTGTGTCTGTGTGTGTGTGACTGCTGGAAGTGAGGTTGTTATTGTGTCCCTCTGCATTCTTCAGACTTCAGCGCACTCTGCACCTGTTGCTGTCTGTCTCTAACACACACACAGACATACAGTACAAATCACATTCTGTCGTCACCAGTCTAACAGCAGCATTCAATGGGAAAATATGCCTGCACCGCATGAGACATAAATCTGAATATTTTCAGCAGGAATGACACAAGCATGCGTGTTTGAGTGTGTGTTTCTGTTTGTGTATGTGTGTGTGTGTTCTTGCACAGGCCTTGGGTCAATAAATGTGGTTTTATGATTAGAGCACATACTCTGTTCTCAGAGGGGAAGAGGAGGAGGAAGAGGAAGTTTAAGGGGATTTTAGTTTAGCTCTAATGACATCCACAGATTCCGTGTGTGTGTGTGTGTGTGTGTGTGTCTTTGTGTGTGTGTGTGGACTGGGGGATTTGGGTCCTTAAACTCGTGCAAGGTGCATTGTGGGAAGGTACAGACCTCTCCTAGCTGACTTAGCAGCTTCTATCTGTGTGCTTGAGCTTGTGTATTTGGAAGTTTGTTAGTGTGTGTGTGTGTGTGTGCGTGTGGTTATTCATGGGTGGGTGTTTCCTGACCCCAGCATTCGATTCCCACAGTTCCCAGTGCTCTTCTGACATCCTGACTGTCATGCCGTTCATCGCTGTGTTGCAGTCTTTCTGTAACTATTTTCTTTCATGAAGTTAAAAACGTTTACTTTGTTTTTACTTTTACACCAATCACATTTCACATAGTTTTAGATCAACGGTGGCTCAGGGGGTTCTGTAACCGGAAGGTCGCCGGTTCGATCCCCGTGCTGTCTGTCCTGGTCGTTGTGTCCTTGGGCAAGACACTTTACCCTACCACCTACTGGTGTTGGCCAGAGTTCTGTCAGTCTGCCCCAGGGCAGCTGTGGCTACAACTGTGGCTTTCATCCACCAGTGTGTGAATGTGAGAGTGAATGAATAGTGGCATTGTAAAGCGCTTTGGGTGCCTTGAAAAACGCTATATAAATGCAATCCATTATTATTATTATTATTATTACTTAACACTGTAGCCACTTTAGTTGACAAGTTCAGACTCATAAAGTCTCAGAGCAGCAAAGCTTGAGACTAATTTAATAATATTTAATAATAATAACTAATTTAAATATCAATCACTTTCAGTAAAATCACTTTATTATTAATCAATTAAAAAATCAATTATTTTGAAACTATTCAGTCATTGCAGGATGCGGTGACTCGAAGTGTAGTTGCATTTCTAGAGAGGTGCACATCAGGTTATCAGCGTATTGTTAAAAAGGGTTTATGGTTACGTTGTAAGATATGACGTAGATTCCCCATCCACATGCAATAGTGGGGTTAGGTAAACTGGTCATTCTAAATTGCCCACAGGTGTGAATGTGAGTGCGACTGGATGTCATGCTACTGGGCAACCTGTCCAATTCAATTAATAAAACTCAGCGGAAGTAAGTGGACTAAATTTAAGAGCTTGTATTTATACCTGGTGGGCAAAACAACTGCAGGTGTATTGATCAATCGAGAACCAATAAACCAAAAATAAAGAATAACTGTGCCCTCAAAATCCTGATGTGCTTCCATTAAGCATTATACTATGCAGAATGTATGCAACTATAACACCTCACGAAACATTTCTCATTGTCTTATACGCTCAGCTGAAATGATGTTTCTCTGATACAGGGTCTCCAAAGACCTGTGTAAAGGAGATATTCTGGGTAACCAGAAGTCCCACAGGCCCAGGGAGAAGCTTGCATAAACACACGCCTCAAAGACTCGAGCAGTCTGAGTGGTTGTTTCGACTTCTGTAAGGATACAGGTTCCTCAGGGAGATGAAAATGTACTCCAAGCAATGAACTACAAACACTCCCATGAACCCCAGAGAAGTATGACTCTAGCCTTAGCTGCGATGTTGGATCAAATCAGAAGGAAAAGAAGTACACTTCAAACCACAAAGGTCAAAACACGTTGAGCGTAGCTGATGTTTTGAAACACAAAGTCCACATCGTGGATGAAATGAGACAAATACCCCTAGTTTGTGTTTTTGATTAACCTGCTGCAAGGCCATCTCGACCTCAACTCATCCCTGAGAACCAGAGACGCTCACTTGTATGTACAGAGGTTAATCAAAACAGGGAAACACGGGGAAGCCTCTTTCTCTCCTCAGAGTTGGGTAGGCGTTGCAAAAATTTGACCCATTTGTTAGTTTCTTGGTTCTCCGCAAAGACTGTTCACCTGCAGGAGTGCAGAGGATCTAGGGTGGACTAGGTAGAAGAAATAAGAAGCTTTCCCAAACTAACAATCCTTCAGTGACGTGAGAGAAAAAAATCATGAGGTTTTTGTTTAAAAGAAACTGTTTTAATCTGTTTTCTGTTTTTAATAATTTCTCTTGGGGAGTGTGGGAAGTGAGATGATGTTTTTTTATAATGCCCCCAAGTGTTTTTGTTTCATCTCTCTCTTTTTATTCCTTCTGTGTTTTATCATCACATTTGGTTTTTACCACATCTGTGCTCCATCCATATGCAAATACTCTAAAGTTAACAAAGCAACCCGTGTCTTTGGTTGGGGATCGAGGTAGATTAGGTGTAGCTGTGGAGTGAGGTTTTTCATTTTAATGGGAATCAACGAGAGAAAGACAGAATCGGAGAAGATTGTTTTCAACAGCTGTTCCAGTTTTTGCGTCATGCAGCGCGAGCTAGCGTAATGGCTGAGTGTTCGCACGCTATGCGCACGCACACACACACGCACACGCACACACACACACACACACACACACACACAAAGGCATGCTGTGGGGACCCCCGGCTGATAGTATGACCAAACTCAGACGCTATGTTGCTGAGGAAGAGCGTCACCTGTTTGAGTGATGACAGGCCGCCGGTTGTACTTGCGGTCTCTCATGCTGCTGCATGTTTGCTGCATGACTGCTGCTACTGCTGCTCCTCTCCCTCTGAGAGGAGACGGACAGAAAAGCACTGATTTGGTTGTTTAAGAGGATAACTGACTGAAAATCTGTGTTGGACTCTGCAGATAGTTGGCATCATTGACACTGTAGTTTTAAGGTATTGATTGACAGATCTTAAAGTCAGAATATTAAAAAAAAAAGTAAATAATATAACCATAAAACTTCTGCAGTTGATTACTTACATTAAAATTATTATTTTTAAATTAGGGTAAATAACAATTATTTTGTTTTTGCTTTCTAAATATGTGCCAATTGGTATCCTTACTATACTACTATAAATCTAACCATTAGATAAAGAGAAGTCTGTGTTCAAATTCTTTAGTTTTGTTGCTTTGTTAAGTTTTTAATAAAGTTTTTAAAGTCTTGTTGAGCTTCACAAGTTAGAAAATGCCATTAACATTCCAAAAAAGGAATAAAATATTCTATGAATGTGGTTCTGAATGATATATGACTAAAACCCTGTGTAAAATAAATAAATGAATAAAAAATCATAATCTAGAAAATTAGTTTAAATTAAAAGATTGGAGTTTTCTGGTTCATAGTATAATAAAAAAATACATTTTAAAAAATATGGCTTCAAAGCTATGAATGATAAAATTAACCTGGTTTACTGGTTTAAAAATAAGATCATACCTCGATCATACTTCTTCTGTAATTGATTTGAAACATTGGAACGATTATCAGTTATCATCTTTTTTGTTTGTTTTATGCTACAAGTTGTCTTAAATTATAGGTTAAGCAATCCAACAGAGGTATTATCTAATTAAAACTTAATTCATTAATAAAATGAACACCTGAATGTGTCTTTCCTTAGTCTGAAAGAAAATGCTGATTCAAAATGATCAAGAACTTGAAAAAGAAAAAAAGTTTTAAATTATGCTCTTTTTCTAGCATAATGATAACATGATGAATGGAAAACATATACTATTTTATATTGTGGATGCATACAATATGAAATCTATATATAATGTGTTACATGTTTTTTTAATGAATCCTGCACAAAGCAAACCTAAAACAGACCTGTATTGTTCAGAAACCAATATTCATGTAATTTACACAAAGTTTCCAGAACAGCTTCCATATTTTTTCCCCCCAGTTTAACAATCACAGCCAAAGACCCACAGCAGCCCAGGAAGCTGTGTTCATTCAATCAGATATTCCAGGGTGATGTTTTAGTGAAGGAGGGAAGTGTCAGTCATCTGTTACAACCTCCTGGAAATGATGTCTGAGACTAACTCCTGCTGAGCCTCTGTGAGGAAAAATGAGAGAATGGAAGGTTTGATTTTTGCCTGACGTCGTGTGTTTCTGTGTTTGTTGCAGGTGTACGCTCCGTCTGCCAGCACAGCCGACTACAACAGGGACTCACCGGGTTATCCCTCCTCCAAACCTCCCAGTGCTGGCTTCCCAAGCTCTTTCTTTATGCCAGGTAATCACATTCACACACACATACACAAGGTCTGTCCTTCGTCAAACCTCCCACCACCACATTCCCAAGCTCACTGTGGATACTGGATAGCTGACAAAATGAGCCGATGGCTCCCTGAACTGGAAGTTGTTCTCACCAAAATCAGCCAAAAAACTGAGTCATACATTTAGTTATTTATTATCACAGCCACCCAGAGGAGGTCTTCATAGTTTGCAGCACACATCGGTGATGTCAACATCACTGATGCTGTTTGCTAACTTACTTGCAGTGGCAAGGGTAGCTGTGCTCTTCATTTTAATTTTAGCTCATGTGTCTATCTACTCTTTGGTCACTCTGGTCTCAAACACGGACGGAATATCAAACAACGACACTGTACATATTTCTATTAGGATTCCAGTTGCAGTGTGAGGACAAGTAATGTTATGATTTATAGAACCGATTAGTGCAATTAAAAAAAAAATACTCATTTTAAATTCTCTAAAAATACACTGGACAACTTAAAGATCAAAGACTCAACTCCATAAAAAATACAGGCTGGAAACTTTTATGGATTAGGTTGTAGCCACTGATATGACTTTGTGCAAACGTTTCATTTGTGACCTTTTAAATTAAAACAGGAATTGTCCTGGCAAAGTCTGCGATTTTCACATGTCCGATTTAGTTTTGACACAGGTTGGATCAGCAGCTTCTGCAGGTGGTTGGTTGGTTTGGTTTGGTTCACCTGGAACATTTGCTCCATTTAATCGCTTTGATTTTATGGAACACTAGCCCAACAAACAAGTGAGTCATGTAGCTATACTACAGTATAATATAAGGTGCAGGTGCTTGTCATTGATTGGATAACTAAAACTACTGGCTCTGTTAGAGTAGTTTTTAATGATTCAAAATTTAAAAAAAAACTTTTACTTGGGCTTAACACAGCACCTCAGCTCATCCTGTGTGAAACCAGCTGTTTTAACACCCCACTTCTTTTAAGACTAACTCTTTAAGCACACTTTCTTGTGAATGTCTCCGCGGTGTAAGCAAAAGTTCTGAACAGCAGGTGTGCTCACAGCTAGAGCTATGCCTAAGATGAATATATTATAGTTAGCCACTTTTATTACATCATTCAGAGCCAAGAATAGAAAAAAACTCTGAAAAAGATCATTTGGAGCAGTCTGAAGCCTGTGCTCTGGCTCCCAGGGATTACTTATACATACACTGACCTCGTTATCTGAAACTCTGGCCATGTATAATATGCGCATACACTTCTGTAGCAGAGAAAATAAATAAAAGAATAACAGGTCTACTTTAGTATCTCTTTGAAGAGACTGGTTTAAAAATACAGGCCATTATCTCTGCGTTATGCCCTTCCTTTTAGAGTGTTTGGTCCTGTTTTGATTAAACAAATTTGTCTGCTTTTCAACTATAGATGGAAAATGCTTTGACAATTTTCAGTTCTCATTTCCCCCCCGACTCTCCTCTTTTCTCTCTGCTGGGTGTCTGTCATGTATACAGTACATACACTCTCAACTAATTTCACACGGTGGACATGGTCCCAGAAATCAGGTTTGTCCTGCACACATCCGTGTTAACCGGGTTATTCTTAAATTCTTAATGTGAGGAAGGAGACCAGGTGTCCCATTTATGTGAATGTTTTCTGAAATCAGGTTACTGCACAAAGTGGGTCAGATTGCTGAACTGCATGTAGACACTGTTGAGTGTCTGGAAGGTTTGACAGCAGAGAGAAACCTCACTGTGTTTTCACCTTGTTTTCTTACACAGGAGATTACCTTGTCAGAAACCTGCACATCACATGTACCTCCCTTAAATTTCATTAATATATATCAATTTATTTGATCAATTGAAATTTTGTTTTACTGTAGTGGGAAAAATATCTAAATCATGCAATCACTGTTTCACTTTTACAGTCAAACACGTGAATAATGGCAGCAGCAGCTGATGACCTCAAAACAAGATAATAAATTGGTAAAATAGACACGTTAGTTCAGTAGCATGAAAAATGTAACTTTACTCTCCGTGAAATCAATGTCTCTGAGTATAAGATCCTTTCAAATATCAGAAAGTGTGTGGTACTTCTCTCATTCCCATCTTTAGGTCTTCTTGACAAGCTGCAATTTAAAAATAAAAAGTTTTCCCATTAAAAAAAAAGAAGAAGCTTCAAACCTAAATTGACTTACACTTGGCCTGTCTTCCCTTGAGGTTGATCCTCTTGTGCACCTCTGGGCCTCTGCGGCCCCAGTAACTGGAAGCCCTCGGTCGATTCAAACTTCCTCTGGTCCATAGTTGAACTGAAAATCCAGTTGCAATATTAAGTTTATTTACACGGTTACTTGCACCAAAGAGAATAAGGTTAAAGGCTGCGTGGGTGGTCAGATTGTCTATGGAGGTTGAGGCTAGAATGTCTTTCTGGTATTATTTCTGATGAGCAGAAGGAAGCCAGGAACCGGGAGTAGTTGGGAGGTCACTGGCAGATAGTTGAAGCCAGTTGAGGCTAGTGGTGTGGAAAGCTGAGGGGCAAATGGATCCTAAGGATGAATAATATCAGTTGAGGGGAAACTGAGACAGCACTCAGATGGAAAGATTATAGCAAAACATTTACTGAAATGCTCAAACTAGAGTGATATTAACTGAGTCTACGATCTGGCAGAAGATTAGTGTCTACAAATCTGGAGCTGTAGTAGCTGATTGGAGAATTAGAAGAACCAGCGCATAGGCACCTTTGAAGACACTCCTGTAATGGCATAGATAGAGAAAGTTAGTGGGAGAATGTTATTTTATGACTTTTTTTTTAGTGGTGCATTTGTAGGTCTTGCACAAAAGCCCTTAGTTACAAGGAAAAAAGCATGCAGCTTTCACAATAAAAGTATTTTTGTTTATAAAACTGTTTAAAACTTCTGTCTTAAGGTTTTGTAAAAAGAACAAAACAAAATGCATTTTTCTAACTTCCTTATCTTCCTTTCTGTATCGCCTTTATCAGATGGTCACCATAGCGGCGATCCCTGGAGCAGCAGTAGCAGCAGTATGAGCCAGCAAGGTTACCACGGCAGCATGCTAGGTGGCGGGAATTCAGCCCACGGCGCTGCTCAGAGCTCCTCCTACTGCGGGATTCACCCTCACGACAGACTGGTGAGCAGAACTGTCCGTCACACGGTGTCCGAACATGGACACAACATGGAGAATGTGCTTCTTTACTGATTTTGTTTTCTGAAGCTGCATTGCACAGTGGGGCCATCCAGCTAACAGCTAAATCCAGTAAGCAACCCTGGAATGTAGATTTTTATTCTACTACCTACATTCTGCAGCAAAATTAAATTCAACTGGTAGATTCAAATGAAATAAGACAACCTTGAAAAAGATTAATTCAAGCTTGCATGTCTTTGGTGAACACGGAAATAAAGGAAATATTGAGTCATTAGTTGGCATCTGGATGGTGGCTCTTGGACATTTATACAGAAAACTACATGGAACAAAAACTTAAAGCCACTGTAACTGAAACTATAATGACCAAAATTACAATTATGGTTACAATCCCGTTAGTCATAGATTTATAATCAACAAAATCCATTAATGAAATAAATCTATCAGTAGTGATTAATATATTAAAGACCGCTGGCTCTCTGCAGAATGAATTCAACATGCTGGTTTTTTCCAGTTATTGTTAGTTGGCTATATTGTGCTTTACTGGAAGTGCACATTTGCAGATCTGGACACATGAGAAAGATTAATAAATTCTACACATATGTGAAGCCATAAAGCTGTCAAGTGTCATTAGATAGTAATTCTTTTATTTCAGTTCTAGTGCTGTAATTATCCAGAGCGCAGGCTTCATGTTTGTAACCACTTCCTTCTGTTTTTTATTTTATTCTAATGTAATCTTTCCTGTTTCGTAGCAGTTTTCATATTAAAGGTTCATTTTTTTTCCATCCGTCTCTTCGCAGAGCTACCCGTCTCACTCGTCTGCAGATATCAACTCCAGCCTTCCTCCCATGTCCAGCTTCCACAGAGGGGGAGGTGGTGGGGGCGGGGCAAATCACTACAGCACCGCCTCTTGCACTGCCCCTACCAACGGAACAGACAGCATCATGGGTAAGATGCCTGTGTAAAGAAATTACAAGGTCACTGTTAGCGTTAAATAATACTTGAAGGCAATCACGTCTCCTGATCACTCAGTGAACATTTCAAAATCTTTAATTGTATGAGCTTTAATCCGTAAAGACATTATCCAATACTGCTGCTTGGTGATCAACACAGCAAACACCGTTAGCTGATGGGAATAAGCATCCTTTCCCATAGTGATTGTGATATTCCAAATCTCTTGATCTAATGAATGATTCTCCGTTCATTAGATGCATGCCTGTCTTCAACCTTGCTCGCAGTGTAGGAATTAAATGAATGCCATCCAATTTCATCCAAAGATATTCATGGTTGTCAGAGGACGAAACCTACTGACAGTGCCAATTAGTCCTCTGACTTTCCTCTAGTGCCACAATGAGGATCAATATTTTTGTTTGTTCCTGTTTAGCAGAATGTTTTAGCACATTGTAGATAAATTGTGTACACTAATGAAATTTGTGCATGCACTTTGTGTTTAGTGCTATCTAGGAGCTGTTAGGTTTTTTACACATACAGTATAACTAAGAGAGTGTTCACGTTAACAGCAACATCGTAAACCTAACAGGATGTAGTTCATATAAAAGTCCATAAATATTTGTTGCTTGTGGGTTTCAGAGCTGTAGACTTCAGACTTCAGATCTGACTTGGACTTGACTCTAAGACTTCCTGAGTTGACTAAAGACTTAAAAAAAAAAACCCCAACATGACCTCAGAGACTTGAAGTTTGAAATCTGGACTGACCTAAAGAACGGGACTCTTAAATTGGGACTTTCTTAAAAACAAAAGTAAAAGCTCTGCTGTGTGTAGAAGTTAAATTGTTAATGTAACTGTTTTGGTTGCATTAAAATTATGAATCTTTTTCTACATTGTTGTTATTTTGGAGTGATGATTTGGGGGCACTAAATGCTTTCAAACATGTACTCTGTTTTTTGCAAATTCATCCTTTAAGCCCACAACATTTTTTTTTGTTTATTTGTTTATATAGAATTTAAATACTTTTATTCATATTGCTAAATAATTTAAACAATTACAAAACTGTAATTATTATTGTATCACAAAAATTTGCAGCATCGGTTACGGCAAGCCCTTCATCCTTTAGCCAGGAGACACCCCCACACATCGGTACTGATTAATTTGGGGCTTGTTTTGCGTAAAACATCACTAAATATTTATCAGTTCCTAAAGTGCTCCCAGGTCATTTTATGTGCATTAACAAACTGACTATTTCAGGTTTGGAATGCAGTTTTGTTTCTGTGTGTATGGATAAATAAATAAACTGCCATGTACAGTGGCGGTCAGCAGGAACCCAAAAATAAATCTGGGGGTCCCCCTCGTGCTTAGGGAGGAGTCACATGTACCCATTTCAGGTTTCAATCCTCTCATTTACTTCAGATGGTTTGATATGATGTGTTGCTGAGCTGAATTGTGGATCCATTGCTTTTCTTTTCTTTGCTCAAGCTGCTTGTGCTAAAAAGTTAAGGCAAGTTCAAATATCAAAGCAGGCGCCAGCAAATCGAATCACATTTATTTAAATCCTCCAGTGCTGTAACTAGCCAATCAAATCATGTTATGATAATATCCTGAGAGAGGGAGGTAATTGTGCATTCGGCTATCAAAATACAGGAGGAGTTGGTCATTACAGGGAGGAATCAGCCTGTTGTATAAGAAAAAAGTCTAGCACAGGCAGCTTACTTGGCTTATGCTAATTGCTAATCTAAACTCAGTTAGGCTGCCTTGTGAGTGATTGTTTATTGCTGCTGTGATGTTTGCACCAGAAAAGATGCTCCCCACATGCCTATCATCAATCACTAAAGCAGCGTGAATCTTCTCCAAAGGTCCATCCACAACTACGCAATTTCATTTTAAACATATGACTGTCTCACTCACAAGTAAACCAAAAATAATAGAGCACCGCTGCAGCCTTGCATTGGATAAGTGGCAGAAGATGGATGGTCTTTGTTTCACTGTTTTTCTCCCTCTGTAGTTTTTTCTACTCTTTTAGGCCCGATGCTTCCTCTTTGCACAGGTGCACACATGCCTACTGTACGGGAAAAGTCCAGATAATGTGTAACAAGTGTGTTAGCAGAGACAGAAATTATTTCTGAATAGATTCTGCTTAGACAGAGATTTTAAAACACTTTTAAAATAAGTGTTTTAACGTGGATGCTACCTAAATGTGTTCCCAATGAACTTTGTCACATAACGAATACGATATACAAGATTCTCCATATAAGACCAAACAGTTTTGTGATATTTTAAAATTTTGTTTTTTTATGCACTACATGGAAAAACACCTAGAGTTACTACTTAAGAAATGAGGTTAACAGTTCTTCCCTATTAGCAGGGTTTTGTTTATAGCCACATAATCAGTTACAACTCTCCGTGCTGTGATTAGACACAGATGATTTAAACTTTTGTTAGAGTCAGAAACAGAATATAGTCAAACTGAGAAGCACACTTGGACTTCATTTTGGCTTGACCTTGACATCACCGTAACACACCACTGCATGCACACAAACACACACATACACACAGCATACCATATGGACCCCTTACTTTGAGTCCCGTAGAACAAATAGAACAGCAATAAGAAACAGATTGAAAGTTTGTTTTCATGGAAAGACATCTCCAACATTCCTCATCTCACACAGACACAGTTCGAGCAGATAAGTGTAAACACAAGATGAACCTAATAAAAAGCATGCTGCTGTTATTTAAATGTAAACATATGATAAACGTGAACTCACAAACTCTTAAACACGGATGCTGGGTGTTTATAGGTGATTTTCTGCCTCAGACTGCTTTTGTACAACTAAACATGCACATTGACTTTATGTAGAACATGAGCTGTGGACATGAAAGAGTCATGTCGGTTGTAATTAATACCAATAACAAGCAATGTTCCTAAGAGGAATGTCCTTAGTGACAGATTTTACCTCACCTGTATCTATCTGTAGGATCAGTGTATTATATTTCCATCAAATCAAACCTCACACCTGAACTCTGGCTTAAAAGCTGAGATTTTCAGTCATTACGATTTTCTTAGTGTTTATTGACCTAAGGTGTGAGAGTTTGCTAGTTTATACAATGCATTAAAACTTGCTGCATTGCAAGTGTAATAAAGTTATAGCTATTCATTCTCTTCCATGTATCCAATTTTGCTGGTAAACATAACAAATGTAAAAGATAAAGGGAGCAGTTAAGTCAGAGAAAGAAAAGAAAAAACAGAATTTGTTGGTGTAGCTGTAAATACTCACCCTAAGCTGTTAGCTTTCTTCAGGCTATGCTAGCTATCCATTTAACAGTCCTTGCACTGCTGCTAGCATAGTATAGTAAACAGCGTAGCATAGTAGGCACATAAAATCATGCAACTGAATAGAGTAGATCAGCCCCATACAGCCGCCCTCTGTTGAGTCCATGTGGTACCTATCATATTGGCAGATACCTTAAGTATTATGCACTGTAAACAATTAGCATGAACAATTTAGCTGATTTACAGCAAAGAACTGGAGATACAAAAACAAAAGTTAAAAAAACTAAATTGTGATTTACTATTAGATTGGTTTATAAAATAAACTAGAAAGCGAAAATTTCTGAAGAAATTTTAAGTGTGCCTATGCCGCCGCTAATCAGTATAGTTTGCCATTCAAACGGCTACAGAGAGCAAAACTCAGCAGAGCAGCCATTCTCCACCAT